CTCGCTTATTTTAATCTCATTTTGACCACCTAAAGAGTAAAAAGCACTCAGCTAGGAATCAAGCAAAGCAAAGTAAGTCCAGTAGTACTTCCGTGGGTGCTTCAACCAGCCGGCAAGCGACGCTAGGCACAGTGCTTACATCCAAGGAGTTGAGAAGGGAGTTTGTACTTGAAAAATGTGCACATTCACAGATATTCCCCTGGAAAAAACAGACAAAATACGTCTGTTTTTAGAGAAGTACTGTAAACAGGCAGGTGCAATACCTAATGTGTCTACACTGCGCAGCACCTACATCCCTCGCTTATTTTAATCTCATTTTTCTGCACTGAAAAGTCTCCTCTGTGATGAACATGTTAGTATCATGGCAGATGAAACAACAGACGTGCGTGACCATAGCATCCTAAACGTTATTGCTAGAGTTAGGGGGAAGTCTTACCTCATCGGTGTGGTGAAAATGGATGCATGCAACCACAGTACATTCAGTCAAGCAATAATCAAGACCGTCAGCGAGGTTGGTATAAACTTCAATCAGGTTGTCTCTATCGTCTCAGACAATGCTGCCTACTGTAAAAAAGCCTTCAAAGATGTTCTATCTGCTGTCTATCCAAACTCGCTTTATGTGATATGCATTGCTCACATTGTGAATTTGGTGCCTGAAGTTTTTCACCATCACTCTGATTTCAAGCACACATCTGACCTGAGGGAAGGAAAAGTCGCTCCTTTAAGTTTCTCGCTGATTACATTGCCAGTTCTGATGTAAAACTTCCCCCTGTTTCTGTATCTACACGTTGGGAATTCATGGTACAAAGCAGCTTCGTACCATGCTACCAGAATCCAGCTATATGAAGGCTTTTATAAGGCTGAGAAAGCACAAGGTTTTTGCTGTTAAGCGCATCATTGAGATGGTCACACACACGACCATATACCTAGAGATAAGGTTGTAACTCTATTTCATCAAAGAGAACTATCAGAGCTTGATGGCTGTTTTGACTTCATTTGAAGCCAAAGAACATCCACTAGCCTGCACAGTGTACAACACACTAGAAGACCTCCGATCATACTTACAAGCTGGTACAACTAAGATCAGTTTTAGAGAAGAAACCGATGGCTTTATCCAGAATCTCCCACTTTAAGCAAGGAGGTCACAGATAAAATCATTTCAAGCAGTGTTTAGCAAATCTCTACAAAAACTTGAGACACACATAGACAACCTTCCCGCTTACCCTTATCAGTGGTTCCCCTGCCGGTTGCCATTATCGCCATTTGCGAGAACCTACGTTTTGGCGATAACGCTGGGCGACTCGCCAGACCGCCTCGCACCGTTATTGAATTGCGCATGCGCAAACTGTGTGTGAACTTCGAACTTTGGACACGTGTATATACGCCATGGACACTGAAAGTTCGACGCCACCCGCGGCGAAGAAACCGAAGGTCGCCTCTTCTGAGCGAAGACGCTTCGTCCCGGGATGGAAAAACGACTACCCTTGGGTATTATGCAAAGAAGGACGCATGTTCTGTGAGTTATGTATGGACGCGAAAAAGAAGAATGCGTTTGCTACTGGATGTGACAAATTTAAGAAGGACTCATTGCAGAAGCACGCGCAGACCCAGGAACACCGTGCAGCGCTAGAAGCTGCTTCTTGTCGAAAGGATATGCAGCGTGCTGTCGCTACTGTTTATAGCCAACAGGAACAAGCCGTGCTCGCTGGTCTTCGTACCGTGTACTTCATGGCGAAGAAGAATCTGGCTAACGATCTCTTCAGTGATTTTAAACTATTCCAAGTTTTGCAGGTATATCTACATGATCTATTCAGTAGGCATTTTCTAATATTGCTCACATTTCTTAGGATTCTGGAAATGCTGCTATTGGCTCTCTAACATTTGATAGTGCCAGGGGCAGCAGGCATTTCACCTATGAACATAGCGAGAGTGTACGTGGATTTCAAGTAAGTTGGAAAATACCTAATTGTACCGGTTATCATGACCTGTAATTAACTGTACAGGAAGTTTTGGCAATGGTTGTTGACGAGGAGCTTGCAACTATGGTAGACAACTGCTGCTATTTCTCTCTTATGATCGATGAGTCTACTGATATAGCAACCACACAAACGCTGATCATCTATATTCGTCTCGTAAACAAGGGGGAGATTATCACTCGTTTGTTAGAGCTAGTCCAACTACCTGGTGGAACAGCAGATCACATACTAGGTACACTCCCTGATGTAATGAGGACCAGGAACCCACCAATGGAAAAGCTGTTCGGGATGGCTACGGACGGGGCTAGCGTAATGACGGGTGTGCGTAGTGGTGTTACAACACGCATGAAAGAGAGAAATCCCTTTATGTTAACTACACACTGCATTGCCCACCGCCTGGCATTGGCCAGTGGGAAAGCTGCTGATACCATTCAATATTTTCAAGAAGTATCAACAGTATGTGAATACCATATACAAATATTTCCGTTATTCACCTAAGCATTCCAACGCACTTAAAAGAGTTCAGGAAATTCTAGAATGTGCGGATAGAAAATTTCAGCAAGTCTTCCATACTAGATGGTTATCGTTTGATGGGGCGGTCCAGGCTATTTTGACTAACCTTGAAGCCTTAATATCTGCACTCATAAGCGATAGCGCCACTGATCCAACTTCAAAGGGGATTCTCATTTTTATTACCACATTTCAGTTTTTAGCTTCAACACATCTCTTGTGTGATGTACTACCTACTCTCACACGTCTGAGTAAGACATTCCAGCGCCAATGTGTTGACTTTTCTGCGATCGCAGATGCCGTACAAGCTGCAATTGGTGCTATTGAAGGTTTCAAACATGCACCTGGCCCTCAACTGGCTGTATTTCTCAGTGATATACCAGACATTCCCACCGAATATTTCTATTTCAAGGAGCAGCGCATTTCAGATAGTGCTGCGCAGCGAGAACACTTTGAGAAGAACAAGACAGATCTTTTAGATGCGCTTGTCGCTAACCTAAATCCACGTTTTCCAGCTGCAGATACCACACTTCTAACATCCTTTTCTGTCCTCGACCCTCAAAAGTTGCCTGGTGAGGCGGATTTGCCAACTTACGGCAATGCAGAGCTAGACACACTTTGTGAACACTATGGTTCAGCCAAAGTGACTAATGATGGGTGTGAATTGCCTGCAGCTCTTGATTCAGAGGAAGTAAAGGATGAGTCGATCATGTTTAAACAATTAATCAGCAAGAATTTTCGATCGTGTACAATTCATGTACTACTTCAAAGACTCACAGATAACCAGACTTTTATCCCTGCAATATCCAAATATTACGAAGCTACTAACAATAGCACCTACTCTACCTGTGTCAACTGTTGACTGTGAGCGTGGATTTAGCAGGCACAACCTCATTAAAACACGACTCCGATCTCGTTTGTTAACAAAAAATGTTAGCACACTAATGAAGATAGCTATAGACACTCCAGATATTCAGCATTTGAACAATTTCAATTTCAATCGTGCATTTGTACTGTGGTGTTCACAGAAAGATCGTATCATTACAAAATTGTAAACAACTACTCAACATGCTTTCCATTGGCTCTACACCTGTTCATCTTCAAGACGTGCAAATGGTGGATAAAGTTGTTTTTCTGGCTACTTCAATTGACAGTAGTGAACAGCTATGTTCTCTACAAAGCACATGCTGCACGTCTCAACATGAAACCCCTCACCGCTCCTCCAGTGCATTTGCAAGGGGAATGCTCGTATAATAATCTATCAGTGTACACGTGGTAGCCCTTGTCTAGGTAAGGTTGGAGTAGGTGTAGCACAACCCACCCAGGTTGAGGTAGAGTTCTGTAGTTTGGATCTGCCTCGTCAAGTGTGTCGGCACCGGTGTACACCAAGATGTTGAGCATGTACCCGTGAGCACTATCCGCTAGTGTAAACGCCTTGATCCCATACTTCTCCGGTTTGTTTGGGATGTACTGCAGCGCACCAAATCTACCGCGATGCCCTACCATTGTCTCATCATCTGAGACTTTGCGGGAAGGACGGTAGTGGGACTGAAATTGGTCGAGAAGAGGATCAAGGAAAGATTGTACCTTGTCAATTCGCCTAGGAGGCATCCCGTCCCTCTCGCAGCTGACGTGGAGAAGCCAGAAAATGAATCTTCTCCGAGGCATGACATTAGAAAAGAAGGGAACTTGAAAACTCCAAGCAGTGCTCCAGTCTTTTCACACATTTACGACATGTCTCACTCACTAGAAGTGTGTAAATTTACAACATTTTGTGACCGAAAGGGATATGCAGGTAATCAAGACCCGAATCAAGACACTCGGTCGATGACAGAGTGCGCCTATCAATGCTATGTTATAGGTACCAAGAGATGACCTTGCCGCAATGGTCCATTTGTCAGGCTGCCCAGTGACAGCATTCACGACGGGGTTTCTTCTCTAGCAAGTGATGTACGTATTTATGGCATTAAATAAAGTAAAAGGGAAGCCGGTTTCCTTATCCCCTGTGAGATGGAATTCTATCCAAAGTTCCGTTATCATCAGTACATCAGAGACCCCGCCTATCCAATGTGGGATCTCCTCTCTATCGTATGGCCATAACCTGAGTCTCACCTACCAAACTCAGGTTGGATAAGATTAAGGTATATAGGCACTGTGCAGCCAAGCACGTACTCAGTTTACATGGTCGAATAAACGCCCATTCGAATGGACGCTGGTCTAGTTTAGAAGTTTAGACACAGGGTTAAGTAAGCAGCAATGAAAAAAACCGCTAACCACCGGCACCGGGTGCTGGAAAAAACGGGCGTGGACTACACTCAGCACAGTGTGTGGTGGCAGTTAAACTGCAACCACTTAATTGCTGCTGCTGCTGCAAACGCTCTTATAATATTACAGGCCAAAAGCAAACCCAAAAAGGCAGCTGATCCATGAGGGTGCACTTTTTATTTAATGCAAGGGTTTGCAAATTGCATGTATGCTTATTCGAGCATATACTGAGAAAAAAGTTCTACTTACATCATCACTGAGCAGGTGAGTATAATGCCTTGGAGCATACTTATCCACCCAAAGATTATCAGCAGACTGTTTTGTTTTTGGTCCATCTTCCTCTGTCATCTCAGAATCTTTAAGAAGAGGTCGGGACTCACTTTCCACAGAACTAGAAAAAAGGGAAAAAACTAAAATCAACTAGTGGATATGCAGCTTCCAGCACTAACGTTGCGCTGAGGGCTTGCACTTCAGTTTTGGCGCACATGCACAGCAAGGGTTGCAGCACTTGGTCTGTTCTGCAGCTATTCTCACACTATAGGCAACGAGGCGGCTATGAGCGAATGAAGCATGAGAGCCTGTAACAATAAAAGGGCAATTTTCTAATGCAGCTAGCCTGTGTTAAGGAGTGAAAAACTGGCTCCGTTTTATGGCAATTTTCAATGCCGTGGGCATTTGAACAAGGGTTGGGTTTTGTGCGATTATGTTTCACCACTCCGCGATAGAGTACTGCCGTTGTCCAGAACAAGTGGGAGTGGCAAAACATGTGGACAATTGTCGAACAGTGAACGATGTTTCCCCATTTCAGTTTTTCCTTTTACCAATTCGAATACCATTCAACGGTTGAACGGTGAACATTTGTGTAAAACACTTCTACTGTATTTAATAATGGGGACTTCACCTCTTCAAGGAATTCAGCACCTGCTCTGCCTGCTCTATCAACCTTCTTCTCCGCTAACAAGAAAAATAGGCTTCATATAAAACATTGTGAAGTCAGACACAGTGTAAGTGAAAAACCTATACCCTACCTTACCCTACCCTACCCTACATCTAAACATCGATTCCCCTACTTGACTATTGTTCATTACCCTTTCCTACCCCACTCTAACATGTCTCATTGCTCTGTCCCGAGGATAGATCTTCGTGGCAAATGGAAATAGCCATTGCGACACGTGAACCACAGGTACGGATTTGTACGCAATCAAAATTATGGACATTCCGCACGCGCAGCGTCAACAAAGTTTCAATCGTATGGAAACGCTATAGGACAGATATGTGGGCCAACTTTCCTAAGACTTTAAATGCAGATATATAGGAATCATGGGTATCTGTTGTGCGGCTGCAGTCATACTGTTCATGTGATTGACAGCGGAATTTTTTGGTGTTAGGTGGTTGTGCAACATCATGTTGTAACTGACTGCCTGCATCACGGCACACTGGTCAAGTCGTCGTAACCCACTCGCCCAAACAATAATTGTACAACACACACACACATTCGGAGTAAAAAAATCCCTTACGACATCCCTATAATAGTAGTAAAAAAACCATGCGCATGCCCAGCTGCCCACGCCAAGCTTGCCTATAGTGATTCAGTTAGGAGCAAGGGTAAAGAAGAAAGAAGTGAAGAATAGAGAGGACCTAAGAAATTAATTCCTGCGTACACTATCCTCTCTTACTATAACACACAATTAGATACTATACCTCACCTCTTCCCGAACGGCCGATCTCAATTGCGAGAATGACACTGGGAGTAAACAACCAGACACAATACTCAATGAACTCTGGGACAATTGCTGGGGACAAAGATGTCTTATGAAGATGACAATAAGACATGTAGACATTAGTTAACATCAGTCTATTTGCATTCACCTGAGCCAATTTTACTACTGGCATGTACTTTGCGCATTGGACATAACTAACTCAAGGCTTCACTATCATTAAAAAATTTCTACCAATAGTACTTGCAATATTACATAAAAATAAACGTTAGGACAATTATTCTACGGCTCAGGTGATGACAAATATGCATATCATATTTGGTGTAGACAAGAACATGGTGTAGAAGGTCCAGGATAATCTCGTTCCCAGACCCTTTCCTACACACAAACAGGGGAAGTGGAGGGACGGAAAGGGTCTGGGAATGAGGCATACCCCTTGGCAGTTCCTAAGTGGACTGCATTGGTGGGTGTGAAATATCCATTAGTAACAGCAGCTATAACTGCCGACACTGATCACTACAGTGAAAGGCCCAGCTCTTACTAAGCTTTGTTCTGTGTCGAGGCAAAGAAACTTTAGTTGGTTTAACCTCCAAGAGCTGTCTTATGGCTATCTTGGAGGTTTTACTGCCCTTACTTTTGACTGCTGCATTTTTAGATAAACTCGACGACCATCACTGGCGGTGACAGTTATGTGAGGGCTGGCTGGAGCTCTTGTTAGTACTCCAGAGGATGGGGCGACCACCTCCATAGTAGATCTTCTCTCCAGTACTGGACTGTAACTATCATCAACTACTTCATCTTCAAAATCATCTGTTACAGGTTGCGTAGTTAGTGTACGGTAGACTGCATTGAACTTTTCCACGATTGAAACATTTGACTTCTTTGAATGGTCTTTGTTCGGTGATTCAGGGGGAGCTAGTGCTCGCTGATACTTTGATGTCGATGAGGGGGTCTGTTTAGCGTTTTCCTTCTCCTGTTTTGTTGGAGTTGTGTACATTACATCGTTATTACACGGAGACTGGGAGTTGTGGTCAGACGTTTGAATGGCAAGAGGTGGGGAACATGGCGGAGAACAGGTAACTGTTCCATCATGGCCAGTGGTAGGTAGAAATTTACTTGGTCTAATAGAACCAAATGCTACAAATGGTCTCGTGGGCGTCACTTGAGGCTGGGTGGGTGGTAGTTCAGACTCATGGGACTTATCCACACACCGCACTTTATATGGAGGAGCTGAAAAATTAAAACACAATACATTTTATCTACATAACCACATGCAAGATATGTGGATACACTCATAAATACGCACCATGCACAGAGCTTCATTCTACATGGTCACATGCTCTTTATCCTGTTGAGTGATCTGATTTCACAATCGCCCAATTATCACCATACCCTTATCCTCTTAAGAGGGCGCGATCTGACTAGTTTCTCCCAAGATCCTGCGGGACAACGCCCTCTTTGCGACTAATTTTCATTCAACAACCCTAGCTCTCACTTCAAAGTGTCGTACCACACTTCATGCTTTGTCTACTCTGCCTATAAAGCAAAAGCTGCACACCTAAGTCTAGCGAGCAGACAGTCTTGCTTTTTTAAAAATGAAAAGCACTGAAGTGCAAACCCTCGGCGCACTGTGACGCGCACACGTAAGTAAAAAATGCGCCGTACCACTAACTGATGGGATGGGTTTAATTTTAGCTGTTACTCATGGTCTCTTGCGCCAGCTAACTACACTACTAGATAGCATGCAAGAGGCGATACACACCCTGCGCTGCATCTTCTGGTGCCTCCTGATGTACGCAGAGCACACAGATCGATCAGACGTGGTAAGCTATCCCGTCCATTGTGTATTTGCATATTGGCCTTTTCGCGCTCTAGCTTTGCAACGGAGCATTTTCAGAGAAAACCGCACAATGTATCTACCTTCATTGCCCGTTAAGTAGGTCATATCCTTTGGGAGAAGAACAAACACTCGAGAAGTGGATGTAGAGTAACAGACAGACACACAGACCCAGCTACCGTACCCTCGCTGCGCATGCGCGCCGAGGGTAATGAAAAATGTCATAGTGCTTGTAAGAGGACTTTTTGTTGGCAAATGAAGAGTTGCAATCGTTTCCAACATGGAGAGCGAGCGCGGAGAACCTAGGTTTTGTCAGGTGCTAAAGCAGTTCCGTCACTAGTGACGAGTATGCGTGCAAATGTTAACAGATATTTACTGCCCGTTCTCGGAGATCGAGCCTTCTACTTGAGTATACGGAGTTCCTAGCACCGTCATACCGAAGTTCAGCACATTTATGTCAAAAGGAGGTATATACATGGTATTGCGCAAATAAATTATGCGTCTATGGCGGTTAAGCAGGAGGTCATCTTGCAAGATGTGAAAACAATGTTTTTGCTCGCCTCGGTGTGTATCACATACAGTATGCCCCACAACATGTCAGTTCTGACAGTAATTAGGAAGCACCTGATAATGCCATCATGAAACTCGCAAGCAGCACGTTTAAGGCGCCTGAAGTGTGCCCTAGTACACTGTAATGGCTTCTCAATAGCTCCTGAGAGGTGTGAAGGATGCTACACCCGCGAAGAGTTGACGTACTACCGACGCCTGAAGTTACTGAGGGAGAGGCAAAGACTCCAGCAATCCTTCGAATATAACAATCACACAGCTAGGCCAAGCTGGACAGAGAGTAAAATGTTTGAGACTGACTGCCTGGCCACTCTTGTCTAGAGACTCACTGCCACTACTCGTCGACCAGCATCTATATTTAGGTTCCTGCCCCCACTCACCAGCTACGGCAAAACGACCTCCTCAGGACTTTCATCCACCTAAGACCCCTAAAAACACGCCTCCATGTCGCCCAGTAAAGTAACCACAACAGATGACCACGCAATAATAGCTGGCTTACTCACAATTCTTTCCCCAATAAAGCCATCCAGGTACTGCCGTGCGAGAGGAAACTAGCTGGCCTGAAGAATTGACAGATGGGGAAGGAATTATTCATCTTGTAGCATTCGACAACCACAAACGACAAAGCTACAGTAATTCGGTGAATATAAGATTCCAGTCACTCCACGTAATTGCCATATTCAACACAAGAACACTCTTAAAAACCACACGAACATTGTTAGTGCCTTCAACTTAACTCTTTAGGGTCCATAGCGCCATTTGGCGACAATTATTGTGGACCCTTCGGGCCCATAGCGCCATTTGGCGACATGCTGGTATACTGCAGTACAGCTAGCTTACCGCGGAAGCGATTCGCGCACAGCAGGAAGTAGCCCATCCTCCGGAAGCACAATAGAGCCAGCTGTCAAGCAATCAAAAAACCAGAGGTCGAAAGGTCGTGCAGCCCAGGGGCTACTCCCACAAACATCGCGTAAAAACTGTGCGATCAGTGCTCGCCGCGCATGTTAGCGTGAAACGATCCATGGAGTTCCATTCCATAGACTGTCAAAAGCATCCAAATGGAACGGTAAGGTATTATAGAAGTATTGTGTCCAAAAACTTGTGCTCTAACTTGGCTGTCTCGCTTGCTTCAAGAGTAGGAAAAAACCGCATTTAGACCAGGCGGTCTATTGCTCAATAAACGTAGTCATACACATGCGCGCAAAGATGCAATGACAGACCCTAAAGAGTTTAAATCCCTGACCTTATATGCGCAGAGGAAGCTTTAATTGGAAACCGGACAGTATGGAATAGCCATGGACGAATGTCATGAAATGGGTATCAATAAGGATCCAAATTTAGTAGTGGTACAGCCAAGTACACTGTTGAATTACATGCCCATTAATTGTTAAGCTTGTGTAGAAAGCGTAAAAAAAAAGGATGTTATTCATTTCGAAACTACGAAACTTCCTAATTGTTAACTTCGAAAATGCACACTCCCATTGGCGCAAGCATAGTTCTAGTGGGTTCGCTGGCAGCGTGCGGACAGTAGACTCCGCTGAGTCTGTGAGGTTGTAGCAGAGTTATCAGCCATGTCTTCCCACAACGGAGATGACGAGGAACAAAAACCAGAAGAACGTGAACCTCGTACTCTTAGCAAAGATTATATTGAGTCTGCCCGTAAAATGAGGCGACAGAGTACGCTTGTCGGTCATGCAGCGAAGAAACCTTGCCTGCTACCTGCTGAATGCGGCTCTCCAAGCCTTGCAGAGGGGCAGCTATGGGTATATGAATTAGTAGCTATCCGAATTAGCAGACGTGGGCCAAATGATCTGGGTTGAGGCCACAAGGGTGTTGTCATAACTGAAGCTGGTTCTAGGGGTTAACAACTACTTAAATGCCAGGGTGGTTCCTTTACTGGGTTGCATGTTTTTTGTCACAGCTTCTGTGTCAAAAATGAGCTTCAATAGGGAAGGGGGGTGCAGAAGAAGGGCCAAAAAATATTTATCAACAGAGAGTCTGATTATGATGCAACATTGAGGAGGAACTATTTGGAGAGAGTGTCAATTACCTTCATAACACAATAGCAGAGTATAGAGAGTATATATAGCGTGTATTTTCTGTGGACCACTAATATTTGTTGCACCAAATATTATGCTGTAAATAATGTTTCGCCAAGCGTAAAAAACAAATTCCTCACAAACATTTCGGTTTTGTGATACACCTAGAGACGAGTGCAGTTATTAGTTGCTTTTCTTTGTTTGAAGGTTACGAGTATTACTTATCTGACAGCAGTGGTCTACCCATCACAACAGATGGGAAAATAGTAGTGCATAAACGTGATGGTACTTATGAGACCCACATATGGACGTTGAAGAACTGGTTGAATGTCTCGGGTATTCGATATCAGTCAACAGCCAAACTCTATTGTGTTCAGAAACTTCAGAATATGGCCACTACCAATTTTAGGACATCCTCTTTTAAGTTGAGGCCATGTCCCTTTTATGTGCCACGGCAGTAATGAAACCCTTTTTTAGGTGCCAACCAAACCACGAATGTCTGGGCATGGTCAGCAGCACATACCAGTTGCAAAGCCTTGTGGTGATTAGTTCAGAGCCACAAGTGCTGCGCTCCTGGTAGCCTTTATAAACTCGTGATGCCAGAGAGAGAAGTTGCGGTATGCTCTGCTAATGAGGCCCGAAACAGCTGTCCAGAGTTCCCATCTTTTTTCTCTTGGCATCACATGGTATTTTCTACATGGGAGTAACTACTAAAACCCTTATGTGCCATTGCAGTAATTGCTCTCAGATCTTAAAATCACATGCATCAACCTGTAATCAGTGCTATGTGCAATTTCACAGGGTATGATTCTGAGGGCTCAGGTTCTGGTGAGTCACCACTATAGTGTTAACATAGGTGCAGAAAATCATGTGCAGTTACAATACTTCATCAACTTTCACTTAATTTGTAAACTGCGGCTATCAGATGTTTTAAGTACCAAATGTACTGATCCATAGTGTCAACTACTAAACTATGAAAAGCACTGAAGTGCAAACCCTCGGCGCACTGTGACGCGCACGCGTAAGTAAACGCATGCGCCGTACCACTAATTGATGGGCTGGGTTTAGTTTTAGCTGTTACTCGTGGTCTCTTGCCAGCTCGCGCAGAGTCTGACGCGGGCTAACTAGATAGCATGCGAGAGGCGATACACGCCCTGCGTTGCATCTTCTGGTGCCTCCGAAGTACGCAGAGCACGCGGATCGATCCGAGTGTGGCTTGCCATCCCATCCGTTGTGTATTTGCACATTGGCTTTTTCGCGCTCTAGCTTTACAACGGAGCAGTTTCAGAGAAAACCGTTCGAAATTTCAGACCTTCATTGCCCGTTCAGTAGGTGGTATCCTTTGTGAGACGAAAGAACACTCGAGAAGTGAGATGAAGAGTAACAGACAGACTGACAGACACACAGACAGACCCAAGTACTGTAACCCTCGCTGCGCATGCACGCCGAGGGTTAATAAAGGGGCAATATAGGTATGCTGGTTAAGTTGTGTTCATTCATGACTACATCAGCAGCTCTGAGGAACTCCAGGTATACAAGTGGGGGAGGGATTCTAGAACATTGGCATAATTAACCCTCGGCGCGCAAGCGCAGCGAGGGTTACGGTAGTCATTCTGTGTGTCTGTCTGTCCACGACTATTCTCGCACTACAGCCTACGAGGCGGCTTATGAGCGATACCAACATGGGCTAGAAAAATGGCGATTTTGCTGAAATCACAGCGTTCGAGAGCGACAAACTGGCACGGTCGCGGACCGCGTTGCGTGGCCAAACCCATCAATAAGCGGTGCGCATGCGTATATTAGACGCAATCAACACGGCTCACCTCAACCTGATCCGCTTGCTCTGTGTAACTTGGAGGCACAAGAAGCCACAGCAAAGGGTGTGTATCGATTCCCACATGCACTGTACTACTGTAGCTAGTCCGTGCCAGACTCTGCGCGAGCTACTAGCGGGATACCACGAGTAAACGCCAATAGCCCAGCCCAGCCCAGCCCAGCCAATCCATTAGCGGTACCGCGCATGCGCAGTTCGTCGAGGGTTTGCATTTTAGTGCTTTTCATTATGTAAGGGAATTGAGTCTATCACACGAGTTTAGTCACGTGTTCCTCCAGAGGACAGATATCAGAAGGTAACCCCAGAAAAGGTACTGGCTTTACCATTAAGAAGTGGTTTAGGAACTCCTCCACAGCTATTTATGCCTTTGCGTAGCTTATGAGTATTCCACAAGTGAAGACCAGAATCCAAATTGGATTTTACGAGGCGCATGAAATCGGATTTTACGAGGTGCATGAAACAAACCCGTAAGCAATCTACTATCAAACTATCAATCTACGCTTCAGTTGGCGTAAAGAGAGAGCAAAACAATGGCATATTCCCAATAGGATGAGTATCATAAAATAGTCGTAACCATCAGAAAAGTACTCAAAAAAGTGAATGAAAAGCACTAAAGTGCAAACCCTCGGCGAACTGCGCATGCACGGTACCACTAATTGATGGGCTGGGCTTTTCTTTTCTTTACTCATTGTATCCCGCTAGTAGCCCGCGGAGAGTCTGGCACGGGCTAGCTACAGTAGTAGATTGCATGCGGGAGTTGATACATGCCCTTCGTTGTGACTTCTTGTGCCTTCAAGATACACAGAGCGAGCGGAAGCGGTCGAGGTAAGCCTGTGCTAATTACCATATTGGCTTGTTGTTTTCACGCCATAACTTTAGAACGCAGTAGTTTTACGAAAATCGCCTTTTTTAAAATTAACCCAGTGTAGTACTGAACCCGATCATATCGCTATTTACCTGATTTCGTGCGCGCGGTGGCAGAAAACGTGGTAACAGACAGACGGACAGACGGACAGACGGACGGACAGACGGACAGACGGACAGACGGACAGACGGACAGACGGACAGACGGACAGACAGACGGACAGACGGACAGACAGACAGACACACTTACGAAACAACTACCGTAACCCTCGCTGCGCATGCGCGCCGAGGGTTAATAAAGTGCGCAAGTTGGAAGTGCACACAGCCCTAACAGGCCACCGTAACTATGACTTCACTGACAGTACTGTGGAAGTTCCTAGAAGAGAAAGAAGCTACACCAAAACAAGTGCATGTCATACTCAACTGCATGAATACATCAGTACATCAAACCTCAATTCAGAGCTGGGTGGAGGAAGTGCATGTGGTATTTCATACCTGTGACCAAAGCCACAGACCAAAAAGCAACTGAAAGGAGTGACAGGTTGATACACACAACTGCCATGATGTGACTAGTACTGGGGGGTCCACTAAATTGCGGGCTTTAATTACATGTCACAGGTGTATAAAAACAGTGCCTAACTTCACACTTAGCTCAGGAGATGTTACAGCTGGCCCCACCAAAGTACAACGCTGAATCAAACTAGAGTAGTGAAGCTCCTCACACACCTCGGTGGTCGTTTTCCCTGAGATCCCATGCCACGGTTGCAGTTCCGGTGGTTACTATTCATCACTAAACCGTGCCAGTATATTCAGATTGTAGGCAGGCGGGAGCGACCCAACTGAGTCGTTACAATTGGCCGAATTTCTATCCGACACTGCAACCCATACCTTAATTATTGGACATGATTCGAATCGACAACCTTTTTTGCCATGCCACGTGCACGTGGAGGGTTCAGTACAGCAGCTACAGAGGCCAGCTAGGGAGAGCCAATTAGCTTGGCAAAGAGAGATAGACAGACACCATTGCGCCTCATAAACCGTGGAGGCCCGGGAGCGGCGACTGCAAAGGGATTATGCGAGAACAGCATCTTGCTTCTACAACATCAGGCGCTGGGAGAGAGCGTGGTGTGCGGCATGATCATGCGAGAATAGGGATACACACCTGCAATGGATGAGAACCGCCAACAAACAGACATTCGCTCGAAACTTCGTCACAGACACTAACGACCAGCAATGGATCGCCACTGAAACACCCGAGTACACAGCACTTTCTTTGTAGCGCCAATGGCCGCAGTTCGGCTGCTCCAGCTCGCCAAATGTGCCAAGCATTAGTGAAACTTAAGTATGCCTTTCTGTTACTGCACAAACTACCCTCAGAGCAGTTTGTGCAAGAGCAGTTGGAATAAAGGCTTGTCCAATAGCTGTGTTATTATTGCACAAGGCTCGTGAAGAATGCAATAATAAATCAGCTATTGGGAAAGAGAATATACTACGGCACACGTTTATGCCAAGCTCTCTAATATAATGACATGGGGTTGCTTTTATGACAGGGTCATACCCTCATCAAGTTCGCCTTATAAATGTTGTTCTTGAGGCAAAATTTTAGGCCGTTGAGTAATTAATGATTCACATATGAAAAGCACTAAAGTGCTAACCTTCGACGCGTTACGCATGCACGGTACCGCTAATTGATGGGCTTGGCTATGAGTATGCGTTGACTCATGGTCTCCACGCTAGAAGTTCACGGAGTCTGACACGGGCTAGTAGATTCCATGCGTCAGTCGATACACGTCTTCATTGTGACTCCTTGTGCCTCAAAGCACAGAGCGGATCAGTCAGCAAGGCATAAACGTTTGCCTTAGTACAGAAAGACAAAAATTGCTATTATATGCTAAAGTCTGCATAGCCGAGCGTAGCAATGCCAAGCCCCCCAGTAGGGTTTGCCAACAAACAGTTGCGCATAGATATGTAGCCGACAGCCTGGGCTGTCTACACTGATGCATTTTAACACTCAGACCACATGCGCAGCGAGCGTTACAGTACTTGGTCTCTCTCCTGCTATTCCGGCACCACATGATACCAGGCAGCCTATGAGCAATACCAGCGGGTTAAACAACATGAGCATGAAGATCACAAAGTTATGGCGTGAAAACCAGTGAAAAAGCCAATAATGCTAATCAGCAGTTTGCCAGTCACTCAGCACCCTGGTAGGTACAAAGTTAAACGAACAACAAGTATCCAGTCCAGCGTTGTTCCAAACGTTAGTCACTGGTGATGCTAGCGAGTTTTGATCGAGAAACAGACATTGCCACCACCGCTTGACATGGCCCAGCCCATCTGTAGTGAAATTGTTAGTTGGACAGCAAAGATGGTCCTCTGTATATACCGTTTGTGCTTACAAAACTGGTTCGCCTGTAGTGGCCCTATAGGTAAAAACCACTAAGTGCAAACCTAACCTAGATTTAACCTAGTAAGCTACTGCACATGTGCCGGACTCGTTTTGAGTGACATTCACTCTAGCCTTAGGTTGTTATAGCTAGGTACATACCAGAAGACACTGTAGGCAGTGGACTCTCAGATGAAAGTGACCTCTTCCTGCGCGGTAAAGCTGGACTGCAAAAATCCAGCGATCTGCGGGAGGGAGGTCCAGCAGAGTGGGCTGAGGGGAAACGAATACCAACATCCAGCTGCACCACCTTCCTATCGAACTCTCACCGCTCTCTTCGGTCATCATTTCCAACTCGTCAGCATATTCCCTCTCAAAATCCTCCATCTTCCCGCTAATCTTACGCAGCCAGGGGGCAGGCAGAGAGAGAGGGCCAGGGGAGAGGACCGTTGCAGATGTGCGCCCTGCAACACGTGGGTTTGAGTGGGTGGTGGGGTGCGCGTGCGCACACCCTGAACGAAAAGGGGCGTGCCATCGTCTGTTCATTCAGAGACGGTGCAGATCGTGTAGACTAGACATGAGCCTTATTTTGCCGCTTGTAGTTTTTATCACCGTTACCGGTGCATATTCCGAATACGTGGTGCCGCCTACTAGGCTAAGACCTGCTCCTTATCCAGAATGGGCTCACTATCACTGGTTAGCTAATTGCCATTGCAGTTTCAGCAAACTCCTTCTCTGCAGGGTTTGGCTATCAAATGACAGGGCTTCGCAGGCCTCCATGACGCAGTATGCACAGCAATACTTGGACCATGGTATCAAGGTCGGTTTTGAACTAGTATCACTGGTCGGGTTCATGGCTTCATTTTCAGGTGGGTGCTGTGGATATTGACTCCGGTTGGTCAACAGGCTTTAACAACTTCATTTTTGATGCTGAAAAGTATCCCAATGCAACAACAATGGTAACTACACCTGTAATGTGTTTGCTGCATTGATCTCTGCAATAAATTAATGCTACACTTGGCTGCCACTGTTTGTTACCGTACACTGGCCTTGGGTATTGAGCCATACAGAAGAGAGCTGAGTCCTCTGTAGAGACCAAGGAACCCGTGCTCCTTGACTGTGGTGGTGACGCAGTGGATTGGTCCCTTGTTGTGCACTCGCAATATATAGTCATCCTGAAACTGACAGCCTTCGAGTGGGATTTTTGAGTCCAAATTTCTTTAAGTGAAAACTGTAGCTACATGTTTTTCCATGAATGAATTCGAAGTTCCTTTCTGTTCCTGCAGATTATAGCCTCTATGTAATCACCTCTAATTTCTGTGAAACTATATAGCTTAACTAGAAGGACTAGAGCTATCTGCTGCTGGTATATACAAGGAATAGAACACAGCATTATCTTGAGCTATTCCAAATAATAGTCGGCAACATTAACTCGCTACACTAGACATTCCCGCTCCCTAAGTTGGAAATGTCATGTGTATGTCTTATGAACATTGGCTGTAAGTAATCTCCAATGACCTAAAAATATTTTGTAAATCAAGCAATGTAGTATTACATAGGATCATATAGCTACAATGAAACAAGCCATATAGTCATGTGAATGCACAGTTTATCCGTAATTAAGAGGGAAGTTTCAGAAAAACTGCATCACAGGGACATAGGGATAGAAATGAGTTGTCAATAGAGTCATACAGTGTGCTTCATGATTATATTATAGGTTGATTTCTTCCACTCCAAAGATATTAAGATAATCCTTTGGGCAACATCCATGATAGACACTGATTCCACCAATTATGACGAGGCCAACAGCAAAGGCTACTTGATAAGGTATATATATTCACTTTAGGTGCTTGTATGAGTGCTTTTCACACACCTATTTGCAGGGATGTGCTGGGTAAAGAGGCAGTGTTTTCCTGGTGGCATGGGAAGGGTGGCTTACTAGACTACACCAACCCTGATGCAGTTGATTGGTGGCACCATCAGATGGATAAGGTTATATAGTTGATCCAGTCAGTTATATTGTGCAAGGTTTTTATTGGGAAGTGAAGCAAGCCTACCTATGTATAATTGCCTGATTTCTATGTATGTGACTGGAACTTCACATACTGTAATGTTTACGCATAAAACTGCTGCACACGTGTTCAATCACAAATAATGCTCGTCCTATAGTAACAAACTGACTTAATTGTGGCAGCAGTGTAATTGCCAATAATATTCTGAAATTTTGTGAAACCAATATTCTTCAGAGGAGCTGGTTTTGATGTGTGCAGCTTGTGGGGACAGTGCCTCAAAGTACAGTTGCTGTGTAGCTCATAAAAGGAACATGCACTTTTTAGATGCTGCACATTATGCTTGCTTGGTGGTCGTGCTCGGCTACAAATGGTCAAATTTTCTTTCTGCTTCTCCACGTACAGGCTTTAGTTTATGGCATAGATGGCTGGAAGTGTGATGGAACTGACCCCTACATCCTTGAGCTAATATTGCCTCTAGGGAAAAGAGGAATTGTCACTCGCAAGCAGTATTCAGACGCATACTATGGTGACTTTTTCAACTATACCAGGAAGCAACGTGGAAACGAGACACTCATCATGTCTCGACCAGCAGATGGGTTAGAAAACAGCTTCACAATTATTCCGAAGAAAAACTATGTGATTATTGTGTGTAGGTTTGGCCCTATTTTCCTGGACTTCAGTCCTCACTATGTCATGTACTCCGGCTGGGTGGGTGATGATGACCCTACTTTTGATGGACTAGAGAGTGCTCTCAAAAGCTACTTACAATCTGCATGGGCAAGTGAGTGTTTGCATCAGACGCAAATAGTATTTTACAAGTAAACAGCCTTATGATAATGGTCCACCGCTTCAACGTTACTTTCCTTCCAGACTTTGCCAACTTTGGTTCTGATATTGGGGGCTACAGGAGTGGGTCTGGGTCTCTAGGAAGAACTAAAGAGTTGTTCATAAGATGGGCTCAGCTAGGAGCTTTCTCTCCTCTCATGGAGAATGGGGGGAACATGGAACACAGACCATGGAAGTTTGATACCACCAACCAGACCCTAGATATATATAGAAAGTGAGGTATAGCTAGTGTGTTCAGCATCATTGTGTTGGCCAATCCTGTAAGCTGTGTGGTTGTTATATATACGATTAGATAATGAGGAGTGTGTACCCTGCTAACGCACTCAGCACATGTAACAATAGACCATGTGATGCCAAGAGGCGACAGCTGTTTCAGGCTTGTTAGCCCTCATCAGCAAAGCATACCAACTTCTCTCTCCAGCATCACAGTTTATAACGGCAAAGTGGGGCGCAGCACTTGTGGTTTTGAACTAATGAGATTCATCCCCAGAAGGCTTTGCTCAGGCGCAGCGCTTGTGGTTCTGAACTAATGAATGAGTTCATCCTCACAAGGCGTTGCCAGTAACGAGCCAAAACCCTAATTCAGCATGCTGACATAGTGGATTGGGCGGCAATGAAGCCAGCAAGCACACCATATCCTGCCAGCGCATGTATACAATGTTGGTAGTTACGTAAAATGTAAGACAGTGCTAGACTCATTTTCTCCCCAGGCAACCATTAAACATTGCTACACCAAATATTACCCCACCACTATATATGCACAAGGTGACACTTTGAGTATGTGTATATACCATAATACAAAGAGCATTGTGTTATGTATAGTAGATTTCTCATGTGACCACTATTGTATAGGTTTGTTGATGTCCACTATCAGCTGGTTCCTTACCTCCTGACCACTGGCTCACATGCAATGGAAACTGGCACTAGCTCCATCACACCACTTGCGATGCATGAAAATTTTATTGACAAGGTCTGTTCATTTTTAATGACACTTACATCAATCATAAATCAATACTGTGTGTGTCATTGACGAGTTGGTGAAAAAGGTGGTGAAGTAATTATCTTATTTCTGATCACAGATTATTGATGATTTCAAGCCACCTACATACAACTACCTTTTAGGAGAGAATGTCCTGGTTGCCCCTATAATCAGTAATACATCGACTGTCCAAGTCACCTTTCCATCTGGCTCAAGCTGGATATACTGGTGGAACCATACAATTCTGTATACTGGAGGCTCCACCTACACCTTAAGCATTCCACTTGATGAGTTCTCTGTCTTTTTCAAGAAAGGTAAGCTACGATTAAATGAGAGCTGTGAAAGTCAGGGTAACTATGAGGTACTGTTGTTCAAATCCCGTTACATGCAGGTTCATTTCTTCCTCTGAGAGTGACAGAGGATACACCAGGGCTAGGTGAAGCTGGTTTTGCAGGTCATATGAGATGGCTACTCCACCTTCCACCATTCTCTAACATCACATCATCTACCATCATCAGGGAGAGGAATGGCAGCGGAATAATAGCTTCATGTTGGTTAGTTATTGACGTGCAATGAAGGTGGTGACATAATTGCTGCAGCCATTTCACTCACCTTAGGAAAGGAAATTATAGCTCTTTGCATACGATACTATGTATTAATTGTCAAACTCACAATGTTTGAGAGAGAGGGCCGTTGGGTTTACTTCATATACCTCTTCCTACTTTTTATGTATAGGTGGAAAAATCCAAAATGCCTGATGATTAATGTATCTGCCCACTCGACACTACTGTCGCTGCTTGAAGTGGTTGGGTGGGTGTCAGAACCACACATGGTCCTGGGCGTGTCTCGTTCGGGATCCACAGCCCTCATGACTCCTGTTCACTCACTTGAAGAACTATCAGTCGGAGGCACATACCTCATCAGACAGATCAAAACTTTCTATGCCATACTTGTCTCCTTAGATAAATTGGGGCTAGGACATTCCATCACAATGTGTGCATGAACTTTTATCGTACTTTTGGTTTTATATTCCATAATGTGTCAGACCTGGCCAGTTAGAGAGTCAGTAGACGCTCTATATAGGTATGGCTCGGGACGTGATCCGCGTACTCAAAACTCGCCGAGATTGACTCACCATGCCCTCTAGCAATAATAATAGTCTAGATACAGCTATACATAATATGCCCAAATACTTTATACGCGCCATCAGTTCTCCACGCGAGAATTCGCCTGTAAGCAATTCTTCGATTTTCGTGTCATCAAAATTATTCTGCATCTTCTTCAGACCCGCTATCTCCTTGCCGGAATCAGTTGCAGCGCTGATTCCTTCACTGAACATCTCTCGGACATCAAGCGATGGTTTCTTCCTTGTCGAAGGTTGATAATGTCTAGACGCGGAATGACGCCATGCTAACTCAGCAGTATAATTATACGCGCCGCCAAGCATGCGAGGGGAAGCGTGCGCCTTCCCCTCTTGCAATGCCCCACTCTCACGCGTATATTTGTTGAAAGGGGAAGGCCTGGGTTCCGAGGCTACAGTCCTTTAATTTTGACTGCTATTCTGGTGTTTCAGTTTCCCTGTCCATTTTGCTCTGTACAAAAGCTAGTGCTGGTGCTTGCTTAGTCATGCAGTGGTGAACGAAGTTGAATCAATGCCATACACATCAGAGTGACCTTAGTTATATTGAGAGCAGCCCAAAAATAATGGAAACAAGTGGAAAAATCATTTCTTCAAAATGAAGAGGGGATAATGTGAAGGGGGGGGATAATGGACAGCTCAAAGCACCAAAAAGGAAAGAACAAGTTAAGACACTCAAATTAACATGACACCATCCCCATATCTTTAGTCTATTGAATAGGGAAGTAAGACCAGACAAAGATATAGGGATGGTGTCATGTTGATTTGTGTGTCTTAGCTGTGTAATGACCCCATGTTCTTTCCTTTTTGGTGATTAGAGCCATCCCTATATTATATTATATATAATTATATCCCCCTTCATTTTGAAGAACTGATTTTTCCACTTGTAAATAATATAGATAGAGTGGGATATTTCATGGAACAGAAACTTACCTAAAGCAAGAGTGAAGACGCCAACCATAGTTGGCAAAGTATGAACAGTGTCCCTATCTTGATAAAAAGACGACCAGGAGATAGGGGGAAAACCCAATTTGAGAAATAAATTAAAGTAGAGCAGTCATGTGACGGGAACCTGAGGTGACAGAAAGATAAAGAAGAGAATTGAATGTGTATAACAATGGAGAAGTGAAGAAACATGTGACTATTAGCTGAGTGGTCGGACTCCACAGTATATAATATAGCTATGTTGTGGTTTCTGGTTATAATTGTATTCATGTGCAAGTTCTTCATTGGCCAACTTATTTGAGCCATACCCTCCACATGTGTGTCCTTTTCACTCTATACTAACTCCCACAGACCAGCAGCTCTCCTCCAACCAGGTTGAACACCCACACGCACACTGTTTAGCATATTACATCTAAACTTGTCGAAATTTGGTCACATATAATGCTGAATGCACAAAACCTTTCACCAATCAAACTTTACTGCTTGAAGAAGTAAAGTTAAATGTGAAGTTATAGAGTAACAAAAACCCACCCAATTGGTCAAAAATCCTGTGACAAGCGATTAAAGCACACTCAAGGGCATGGATTGCCCTATTCCTGAGGGTTAGTTTTAGAGGTTCGAATCAGTCCGTGTGGCTCAGGCATACACCACTGAGAGCGTCCTGGTGCACACCTACTTACTTGTTAGTCACCGGCACGATCCCTCTCATTTTCCAGACACACTATATAGCTACTCACTCACTCATCATCTTCTATACGAGAAAATGACTTATCAACTTTTTAGGTTAACATAGTGCACTTGGTTAACCTGAGATATACTGTTTTGCTCCATTTCAGGTTCCAGTTGACCATGACAGGCACCTCATGTTTCCTCCCCTTTCATCTTTTCGATAACTTTTTCTTATGTTTTCTCACTGGTGGAGGGAAGAGCAGTGTTTGCTGGAGGTTTCCTCGGATACTTCAAACTTAATTAGGGATTACACCAGTGGTTATTACAGTAGGGCACACCCCCTTGCCACTCAGTGACAGTGGGTCACCTTGTGCATGTGTAACACCTGAGCTAAAAAGGGAAGATCCCCATGCACATTATGACCAGAGTGCGAGACTCGCTGGTGGTTGTGGTGGAAGCGAGACATGCCTGCCAACGTCAAATGTCTTTATCCGCGGTTGTTTCAAGACATCTCGCATAACTAAGGCAAAGACAAGGTAGTTATAATGCTAGCCTAAACGTCAAATAAACCTACAGTCCACTTTTATACAGTCAGACTATCAAATTCCTTTTGCATTTCAGAATCCCTCTCAGCACATGCTTTCTTGGCATCTTCTATCTCCTTCTGAAAAGTGAGAGCAAGATCTCCCACCCTCTTCTTCGCATCTTCGTACGTCGGATTTTCCTGGATATATTTGTACAGCTCGGCTTGTGTTTCCTTGATTGCTTCCATGTATTCTCCACACACGTTGTCCAATGCCACCCAGCCAGCATAAAATCGAACAGCTTGAATTTTAAACGGTTTCGATGTCCAAAGTTTCAAGCGCTTTGTCTCGTCATACTTGCTCATGGCACTCTCGACTTTGTCCTTCAGCTTGTCATCAGCAAGTGACTTGCAGTGGTCTTGCATCTGTTTCCAAAAAAGTGCAGCTTGCATCATGAGTGCAGCAAGTATCTTCAAACCCTCCATGGCCTTGTGCAGAGCTTGTGCCGAACTCTTTGCAAATTCTTCTTCACCTTCACAGTTTTTAACAATGACGGTGAACTCGCCCAGCTTCTTGTAGGCCTCCAGTCGCTCTTTTTCTTGTTGCATTCTCATTTCAAGTGCTTCCCTCTTGTTTTTGTTGATAGCTTCATACTTTTGCTGTTTTGTTTCTTTGCTTGTTCCAAAGATTGGAGTCCCAATAAACTTATTCGTAAGGCCATTTCCTAACTTCTGAAAGAAACCACCGTCATCACCCAGATCCTGTAATGCCTTGTCACCCTGCAATTCACATTCACGATACCTAGCTTCCGCCTGCTCCTCCTTTTCTGCTGCCCTTTTCAGTAACTTATGCTGGTCTTTCTGCTGTTGTTCAAAATCAGTCTTCTTTTTCTTCATTTCTAGCGCGTAACGTTCCCGCGCACCTTCTTCGCGCTGCGTTTCCTCGAGGACTTCCTCCACCTTATGAGCTTCGTCGTCAAAGCTTCTGTGCAAATCTTCCGCTGCAGCAGCCATCTGTCCGGCTAAGTCGGAAACAGAAGAGAGCGTATCGAGAGCCATATCCTCGAAACCGGAGAGCAGATATTCGTATGTCGATTGAAGATCCGTCAAGATCGTCGTGGATGCACGCTTAAACTTCGAAACCGTAACAGCGGACTTGTCGCACAGCCTCGTCACGTCGTAGCCAAGCCGTTGTACTTTGATTTGAAGATCGGTATATTTGGGACCCGCCGCAATAACACCATTGAAAGCGACCTGGATGCATCTTCCCACTCGGCCCAAATCTTGCACAAGTGATCGGAGATCAATATGACCCAACAACTTCTTTCGCTCCGCCACGACAAGCTCAGTATCACTTGGTGGCAGTTCCACTATGGAATAGGTGGTGTCGTTAATAACAACAAGCTGGTTGCTCGAATCGGCCATGACTTCGCAGTCGTTGCGGGCCCCCCGCTGAACGCGCTGAAATTTATAGTCGAACGCGCGCCGCGGACGTTGTGCGCAAACTGCACTGCGTTGCAGAGTAACTGCCGGTTGATATAGCTACCTAATCGTTCCAGTATCGTGGCATGAAACATCGCCAAAGTTATAGCCACCTGGAAACTTCCTTCGCTCGCAAGTCTTTACGCCCGGAAACTTAGAGGAGGCGTCACTGATATTGCAAGAGGATCCTAAATCAGTTTACTCCAGCAACTTCAAAAGGTATTTAAAAGTAACTAGCTAGCTGTAACAAGCCAGCAGCGTTGAATTGCATGCACCACGAGTCGCATGAATCATCACGCTCCACAACCTTCTGCCAATACGCAATTGGCATTATAACCGTAAGGTTGTAGCTAAGCATAATGATGGCATGGTGTACACGTATAATAGCATCATCTTTTTCTTTTTCAGATTAGATCATAGAGCCTTGAAAATCTGTAGGAATGTAGTTATCTACAACGGGATGATTACCATACTTACTTGTTTGTAACAATGTTGTTTACTGTAAACGTTATAATTATGGTTTTTGTGCTCTATGGTGTGTGAGTAACATTGAAGCTGAAGTATTCAGTCGAAACGTCTGGTGCATCATAATTATGTAGCTATTCCAATCAACTAAGTATCAAGAAGGAATAAAACTTTCTATCATATAGCCCTACGATGCCCATCCTAAGTACCTGCGATTACATGCTTACACTTTGTTTTATAATTACTCTTTCACTCCTCATAATTAGCTAACAGATAGTTTGCATCTAAGTACACTATGTATACAAGACTATTTGATTACCATGTTTGTTATTAGAAGACATATAAAAATGAAAGGAGAAAAGAATCCTGTGAATTTGGAATATAGGGATGGTATGCAAAAGAAAAACGGATATGATATGGGATACACGAAGTATGGTTTACGAACCACACAGATTTTTAGCACACTGATAACACTAGCCAACCACACCGTCCCTATACTGTTGCTTAGGTGAGACATTTAGCAGGAGCTACAGCAAGGTGACAATAATGTGTAATAGTGGCTAATATGGAGCAAATTATGAAACTACTACTTTCATATAAGAATCCAGGGGTTCTTGAGAATCTAAAAGTAAACCCTAGCAACCCAGAGTATATTAGGGATTTTTCCTGGGTGTTTTACCCTCTGTATCTCCCAGACAATTCTGAGTACTACTTACGATTTTGAAAGCCACAAGCCTGATGGGTCACCCCAGCATTGTTTGCAGCTCTAGGGACATCCCCTGGGGTTTATCTACCCTCACATTTCTGAGTATGTATGATACTACTGAGGGGTAGCAAACCTCAGCAACTGACATCTTCCCAGCATTGTTTGCAGTCCTAGGGAATTTCCCTGGGTTTTACATGGTATGTCCTCTTGCTGAAAACTTTTCTGAGTACTATATACTCACAATTTTGAAAGCCACAAGGTTTTGCTAACAACATAGGGGGAGTATATTTTACTGCAGAACCCTTTGAAACTCCAAATTTCACTTTCAATTTCAATGAGATCCCACATCTTACATATCAGTGTAATCCATATGGCCGTGGATCAATATTCAAGAAAGTCACTGACAGAATCCTTGTTGTCATGTTCAGTTTGGACAAGCATAATATCTCAAAAACAGCTATTACAGATGTAACTTTGCACTGATAGGATTTCAGTGTAAAATGTGATGTTGAAAACGGAAAAATGAGCTAGTGTGCTAACTACCTAATGCCAATAAAAAGAACTTTGAACACACAATAACAAGCTTGTAAACTACAACAAGACAGTAAAAACTTGTTAATGGTGTTATAGTGCCTACAACTTGCTTGGTGCTGCATGTGTACTATGATAAGATTAATTTTAATGTACAGACTTATAATATCCTCAGGCAAAATACTTGCTATGAGAACAAAAACATCCTAAGTGGTGTTTTTTGTTATAACCTATTTATGCTGGGTCCTTTAAAAATTAAACTTGATACAATTAAGTACTACGATCAGAGTTCGTTAAATAGCCTAAGGCAACAAAAACGGTGTTTTTGACCATAACTTGCTTGCTTGGTCCAGATGACGAACAGAAAAAGCCAACTATGGGAATTGTGCCCCAACTTGCACACCACGCATATCAATACAGCAAAAGACGAAAGGAGACAAGTGAAAAATTGTCCGAAATGAGCTATGGGGATTAAGAGACAAGGCAGGGATGACTGACAAGACAGGGGAACAATACAATGGATGATGACTATATACGTACTTTAAACTGACATCGCTTGCGCGTGTAAATTTTCCTCCTGTGTGCTCCCTTGTATAATGTGCAGCTAGACTCCTTTTCTGTGAGCTTCTGCATTTTAAAGTTGTGACTGAATTGTGTGCAGTTTAAGAGTTGTATGTGTGCTAAACTAACGCTGCCTTCTAGGCTTTCTAGAATCGCTTCACAATTATCTTTACACTTGGTAAGTAGCCACTATCTATTGTACTACTGCATCGCATGCACTGTGTTGTGTTCTTTGCTGTTTACCTATAATTATTTATATACTTACTTGGAGCCACTGGTAACATCACCCCAGCAGCATGGTTTTATGGACTTTTCCTGGGTTTTACCTTGTATTTCCTCCCTTGCTTATTGCCCACAATCACTTTTCTGAGTAGTACTACTACAGCAAGCCACAAGCTTTCCATGGGTATCTAACCCCAAGCATTGCTTGCAGCTCTAAGGACTTTACCTGGGTTTTACCCAGGAATTCACCCTTAACTATTATCAAAACCACTTTTCTGAGTAATACTCAGGATTTTGAAAGCAGCAAGGTTTTGCTGTATAGCCAATCTTAGCCTCTGATAAATCACCCCAGCTTGTTCCCAGCTCTAGGGCAGACTTTCCCTGGGTTTTACCCTGGTATTTCTCCCTTGCCTCTTTTCTGAGTAGTACTACTACAGCAAGCCACAAGCTTTCCATGGGTATCTAACCCCAGCCTCTGAAGAGTTTAACCCCATCATTGCTTGCAGCTGTAAGGACTTTACCTGGGTTTTACCCTGGAATTCACCCTTAACTATTATCAAAACCACTTTTCTGAGTAATACTCAGGATTTTGAAAGCGGCAAGGTTTTGCTGTATAGCCAATCTTAGCCTCTGATAAATCACCCCAGCTTGTTCCCAGCTCTAGGGCAGACTTTCCCTGGGGTTTACCCTGGTCTTTCTCACTCAAGAACACCTTTCTGAGCACCTCTGAAAAGACACAGTGTAGAGCATGCTGTATCAAGTAGCCAGGGATAGAATCACCCTAGCCATCTTTACTTTTCTTGGGGATTTCACCCTACTTGCAGCAATAAGACTTGTGTGTAGGAATAATTATGTGACCATCTAAGCTCTACAAGCTGAGCTACCAGGGCAACTCAGAAAGTCGAGGTTCAAAACTACAACACAAAGCAAAATAGGTACAACCTACAACCATTATGCTTATGGTGGCTCATTAGTGCAATTTTCGCTCGCGGATCCCTGCTCCAAGCTCCTAGCTTCTAGCTATACCCACTTCTCACAGTTTAGGAATTTTACTTCTATATAGTTGCTTCTTTCTTGTCACTGGCCGTTTTTGTCCCATTGTGCTACTTATTGTTTGTGAAAGATAAAGACAACAGGGGGGCAAAGCAGTACGAGACAAAAGGGTCTGCGCTCAGCTCTATAACAGGGTATCCATCTTTATGTCCTCCATGCTAGGTATAATGAGCATGTAATTTTGTGACATTGTCCAAACGGGCAACTTAACATTGCTGAACAGTGAACATGCCGTGTGTGCCGATGACAGTGTTCTTGTAATTATGTGCTATGGCACAGCACACTCTCACTCAGCAAAAGTTGTGTTTTATCATTACTGCACCTCATTCTGACAATACACAACATAGTGTAGCCAGACATCTGGGCACCCAAGCCAGCCCTAGATACAAGGAGGACTTATACCTGTTTGCACCTTGTCTTGTACCATGTTCACTCAATACCTCGATCACCCATATCAACACACACTGATCTTTGCCTATAAATACAGTGTATGTTACTGTATAAACAGTCTCCGAATTCTGTCACTAAGTCCCTGCTTAACGATGCTGCTAAGTGCGAGACAGAATTAGAACCCAGACACTCTTTGTCACACGGCCAAGGGGGCGAGGAAGAGCAAGAGTGTTGTATTAGTGGGTTCAAACCATGCCATATTAGGAGATTACCCCTCTCTAAGGACGACTCTGAAATTCCCTAAGCATGTTCCAAGCAAATAAGATGGTTTTGCAATTCCAAGTGGTGGCATTGTAGTGGACCACAAACATGGGCACTGACACAGACTTATACATTATGCTGATCCCGACTCGGTATAAACTCAACTATCATACTTCCGGCATTTAACCAGAGATGTGGAGTTCCACCATGATATATACCTGTAGGAAAATGTCCAGCCACTCTATTCGGAAACCAATGCTCAACCAGCATGCTCTGCTTGGATACCTTGACACATGTGGGAATATTTCCAGCATAACCTGGAACCTGAAAACCTGATGTTCCTTGACACATGTGGGAATGCACTCTGCTTATACATGCAGAAAATATCATTCAGTAAAACTGTGTAGGAAATTCTTCTGTGATATTTATTCACAGCCTGTCACCTTGTGTATGGTTTTATACATGTGCTTGTGGAAATCAGAAGATATACATTCACTTAAGCTTTTAAAATTTATCCAAAAAGTGAAATTAATTTAATTGGCAGTTGCTTTTTTCTTTTTCTTTTGAAGTGTGTTCCAAATAAGGACACTTTTAAAACAATTCTCGCATGCATTATAACACCTGAAATATTATGACATCTTGCTAATTATCTCCTTTAACGGTGTCCAAATTTTAAGGGATTCCACTATACATACACTGTTGCCAACTTTTGCACTGGAATGACAAAGCGTAAGTTTGCTTACACGCCTATCAATATTTAATTTTGTAAGTGTGATTGTTCCTACGATGCCTCTACAGGCAAACATCAAAGTGTATTATGTAGCTTCAGAAAAGCATTGTGAAAAGCTTATAGTATACCTACCTGTTTATACACAGATACTTTAACCCTTACTTTATAATACACAATCATGAGACTCTCCCAGAGTTTAAAAGTATCTGCTATCCTGCTGGGTTAATAGAAAGGCCTATAGTTGTAATTATTTGTAAAGTGTATGGGCCAGTGAATGATACTTGTTAACTAAGAGTCATT